ACACGTACGTGCGGCAGTCTTTCTCAGTGACATCTGTGAGTGGAATGAACTAATGTCATAATGATTGTAAACCTTTCCAATTGAAATGTTGATGCAACTCTGTAGGCCTACATTTTTTTTTATACTTCTTCTGCGAACAGATCGATATTGGAGATACAGCGCTTCAGTCTGACTTGCTTCCATTTATAAACAGCAGCCAAAACAGCACTAACAACAACAGCACCGGGTCCTTCGCCATAAAGGATGCTGCACAGGTTTGTTGTTCACAAAACGATTTCACTTTCAGACACTAAAATTTGACTTGTACAAATCCTCACCTAACAATCCTGAGAAAGAAATTTGAAATACATGGTATTTTGAATGGAACACAACTAATCGCAGTCATTTTGCTTTTATCCTATTCATTCCTTGCTTCTCGTTTTTTTTTCCATCTTTTTAAGAACTAGGTCTTATTATGTGTGCCACTGTCATGATGCACATGTAGTATGATTAACAGATACCTTTTTTTCCTTATCTGTCATATCTGATTCAGTGAATGCCATTCTGTCTTGAGTTGCCAGCAATCCTGTTTTATTATATCCTCTATGGGGCATTTGTAGACTTGGGTTGGTTGACTTTCTACCCACTTTTCTCAGCTGTCAGAGATAAAAGTAAAGTGGGAGGTCCTAGCTTTAACAGCCTTATTGTATTGAAATATGTGTTAAGTTATACCAAGTCTTTACACCATCTGCTGAGACTGGTATTTAGCCTAATCATAAAAGCTCTCTTAGTACCTTACTTCACTAAATCTCTGCCTTTTCAACTTGGATGTATGTGTGTACCATATCTGTAATCTCCAGTTGACAAAGTTACTCATGGATGAGACAAAGCATCTCTTCACATCATTTGGCGCTACTGACTCAGAGGCCACCGCATATGCTGAAGCTGTGCTGACTCTTGAAAAAACTCTGACTTATGTAAGTACTTTGACTGATCTTCCACACTTTAGAACCATCTGTTTTATTCATTTTTGCTTGCTCGTGGTCCAGAGATTTCTTTTGAATGAAGTCATTTTGCCAAACAATGAAAGGCACTCAATATATTCCAACCTTTGAGTGTTTGAATTTATTACCACTTTAAAAAATGATGTTTGTTCTGATCCATCACCCATGTGGCATCTCATTGATATGGGTAGAGACTTTCTATACATTTAATCTTTTCTCTATATAGATTCTGTATATTGATTAAGAAAATAGACCGGCGTCTGTGGTGTAGCAGTTTGGTGTTGTACCATTACAAGAAGGAGATACGAGTTTCTATGTGCGGAGAATTTTCATAAAGTGTCTTTGTCTTTATGCTGAGATGTTGTATCCCTCTCAGCCGGGATTAGCCCTGACAGGCTGGGTCAAAGCACACCTTCCAAGTGATTTAAATTGTGTCGATGTGAGCTTAAAAACACCTACATATTTTTTTTAAAATTTCATATTTACTTTGTCATCAGTCCATTTCTTTTTCAAGCTTTTCTGTCCCTGAGCATCCAAAATCGTGCTGTTTGAGGCTTTCCTTAATAATGAATGTTATGTTTACAGTTACATCTAGTAGAAAATTTATTGATTAGCCTGTGTAGTAGTACCACCTTTTTTCGTATTGCGTGTCTGTTCTTACAGCCACAATTTAGGGAGCAGTCATTTGTAAAAATAAACTTAAGCCCTCCTTTCGGAACTTACTTGAATTGCTATACACATTCAGGATCTCCACTCTCAGTGGAGCCACATTTGTGTTGCTAGGACGTCATTTGGGAAGATTTTTTTTACATATTCGAAGAATGGTGTGGGGGTGGAAGGAGGGTGTGGACATTTACCTTTACCCTTTTTCCATTTTCATTTGAATTTCTTTGGCTTTTCTCACTCGAACAGGCAACCCAAGGGTACCACCACATACATGACAGATTCAGCCTCTACAATGTCATGCCCTTAAAAGAAGTTGAAGCCAATTACACAGTGGTAAGAATTCGATTAGGAACAAATTAAAGTTGATTATAATTGTTGTTTGTATCAGATGTACATCATGGAAATTTGGACTGAGAAGCGTTTCTTTCGCTTATGTGAATGATTTCCCCAGTTCAGTACTTATGAAATGGAGAGCTTATATATAATATATTTTCTTGAAAATTCAACATATTTTATTTGTTAAAGATAAGCGGTAATACAAATATAAGCCCAAAGCCAGTTTACCACATGTCATACCCACGTGTGCTCAGGACCTCTGTGCTTAATTTCTTTACTTCAGTATTTTTCTATGGAAAATATCATTAGATTGATTATGAAATGCATAGATCAAAAAGCCTTATGAGTCTTTACTTTACTTTTATCAGCACTTATACCCTTTTGGGTGTCATGGGAAGAAAGAGACGTCTCTCTGTCGTCAGCCGGAGAGCTTGGGTCAGGGGGATGCCGTGGGTGGTTAATGTTTCCCTGACTCCATCTATCCAGGTCTTTCTTGGTCGCCGGATAATCCGCTGCCGACTTTCTACGCCTGTCACAGTTTCACCAGAGCCCCATAAGCCTGCAACTTTTCAGGGTAATCTGGGTTCTCCTTCTCGGCTAGCAGTACGCCTCAGTGGCAGAAAGCCACGCCGTACTTTGTTGAACCCAGCAATCCCCTTCTTTGTCCAGTTTCCACCTCCTGGGACGTGGACCTGGGGTTGGCCTTATGAGTCATTTTATAATAATTTTGCAGTGAGTAGTAGGCCTAATGGAAAGAATGACGAAAAAGTCGAAGACAAGAACAACTTACTTGGAAAGCCTGAACAGATGAGTAACAGGGAAAGACAAGGGGTAATATAGGTTTTTTGACAACATCCAGGCAAAAAAATAAACTTCAAACCATGATCACCGATACTGTTGCAGATCTGGCATATGATGATGAGTACTAAATTATGGTTTGTTGTTTTTGTTTTCAGGTTAATTGGGTACAGTACTTGCTTGCTATGGGTTTCCAAGTTGATGGGGACACGGACGTGGTTGTACTCCATCCTGACTACATGAAAAAGATTACCGATATATTTCATGACTATTACCATGGCTCAGTGGAGAAAAAGAGGTAAGTGTAAAACAAATTTCAAAGTTTGTGTTGGTAATATAAAATTGGGGCTTGTAAAAATGTGTGTAATTTTTTTTATATCTGCAGTATTGCAGGGTTATGTTTAGTGTAGTAGATATCCAGTTATTGAGACGTTTTCACTTTAATCAAGTCATTAGGTAAGAAAAGTTTGAGTTGGGTGGTTTTCAGTTTTCTCAAAGCACCTCAAAATGAATTGAGTAATTGTGATAAGACAGTGACAAATTTGTGCTTCTTTTGAAAATATTTTTTTTTAAAGTGTAGGTATTTTTACCTCCATAGCAAGTCAATTTAAATCATTTAGGAGACAAACTTCTGACCTTGCATGGCAGGGCGAACCCAGGCTGAGAGGGATACAACATCCCGGCAGAAAGACAGAGCTACTCGATAAAAAGTCCCTCTCCCCCCACTCAGGTATCGAACTCGGGTTTCCTGCATGCAACAATGAAACGCCAAACGACTACACGCTGGTATTTGTACTACAGTTAAGGAAGGAATAAGAACAGGAATACTGTTCTTGGAATAATCACTTTCACTCTTTGACCTTTAATGGTTTGTCAGTGATTTATGCTTTCCTAAACTCATTACATTTTAGTAGTGGTCCCTTGTGAATAGATAATAGTCTGTAATTGTTTATAAGAATGTATAAGGCAACTGTCTTAGATATTTCCTTCTTGTTGGTCGTGGTTTGAGTGATGATAAAAAAATTTTAGCACTCTTTATTCTCTCCAAGAAATGCTTCATTTAGATGGTAAAAAATAATTCACATACATCTCTCCGCAGAAGGGTAATCATAACTGAGGCAAATTGTATGCCTTTAGTTCAGTTCAAGTTTAATGTTTCTTTGACCTATGGCTTTTCATAACTGTATTTTTCTTTTTTTTTTATTACTTTTTCAGAGCTTTAAGAGATTACTTGGCCATCAGTTTGATCCGCTCGTTCAAGCCATATTTTCCAAAGTCCTTGTTTGAGATTAAAGAAACAGGTAAGTGTTTCTTTAGGTTCATATGTAAAAATAGTGACATTGTTTGGGCGAGGGAGGGGGGATGCGGGTGGTTAGAGAGGGTGTGACTCGTACATCCTACTTTTTCATTCTCTCTGTCTTGCCTTTCCCCCACACTAAATGACCGTTGTTATGACCATGTGTTTCTTTTTTTCTAAAACCATGACTACACCGAATTTGATGGGGGTGGGAGGTTAGTGATAAAACTTGTTGTCAAATCAGTGAAAGTGCTTTTGCTGTACAAAGTTGACCATGAATATGAAATGTAGGAAAATAGATTCAGAACGGTAGAAAGAGGCAGAGAGAAGAAGAAATAAGAAAAAGTTAGGACATAGAAAGACAAACACAAGCAGACAGCAGAGAGACATTAAGACCTTGATGCATCTCGGTTAGTCAGAAAGTCATATGCATAGCAAAATTTCTTCTTTTTTTTTCATTTGAGAATGTTAACACTTCAACACGTAATAAGTAACACTATCATTCATCAGTAGCATGATTTATTTTTATTTTCCATAACTTCAAGTGTCTTAATTTCATTGTTGTTTTTTGGGGGGGGTTTTATTTCAGAGGAAGATGAAATGGAAGAGAAATGGAAAAGGTGTACATTTTACACAAACAAAGCACTGGGATTCTCCACTGGTGCTATGTATGTCAAAGGCACAAACTCAGAGGGCAGTGTCGAAAAAGTAAGAAGACTTTTGTATGTTGTTTTATTCCAAATAAATACAATCATGAGTACACTTTTTAATGCGAAACATAAAGATCTGTTTATAAAGTCATAGAGTTTTCCAGTCAATGCATCATTCTATCTATAATTTCTCTCTTTCCTTGAAGGCAGATTATTTTTTTTAATGAGTTACTAGCTGTTTCTCAACTCTGTTTAAAAATCTTTTGTGCATACACTTCCTTTTTTTTTTTTAAGTCAGACGTGTGAGACTTATAGGCCTTATGATTCATACCTTAATGACATTCTCATAGTCTCTTTCTTCTTTCAATTTCATTCAGGCTTCTTGAAAGATATTTTTGTATTTGTCATGCTTTGTCAACAAACTTGTTTTTTGAAAGCTGTGTGTAATGTGGTTGTATTCTCTTTGGAGAAATAAAATACTTGTTCTCTAATCTGCAGATGGAAAAGCTGATAACATATGTCAAAAATGCGTTTAAGGACTACTTGCTCAGCAAATACTGGATGGACAAGCGAACCCGTAAACGGGCTGAACAAAAGGTTAAACTTTCTTTGACATTCTTTCAAAGCATAGACGTACATTTTTTAATAACATAATGTAATTGTAGATGTTTTATTATGTCCTCATCGGCGTAAATTAGATAATTTAGGAGGTGGGCTATTTCAACCCTGAGAACCAGGGCCAGCCCAGGCGGAGAGTGACTCAACATCCCATCAGACAAACCCTGATGAAAAACCACCCAATATGGGATTTGAAGTCACATCTGAATCTGTTGCATATGATGGCATAGTGCCTGACTGCTACACCACAGATGCAGGTCACTTTATTTCTGTATTAAAACATTTTTAATGAAAGGTTTTATGAGAGAGCATGGCCCAGAATGAAGTAAATCAACAAAACAAAAATGCTTTTGAAAAAATTATGAATCCTTTGTGTATTTCTCTGTGGTTAAAGTTGCCAGCCCATATCTTTTGATTCCAGATGATCTGGGTTTCATTACATCTCCCATTCTATTAAACAATGTTTAATCATTTTATGAACTCACAGCCTGTGTTTTAATGAAATGCTGTTATTGTTTTCTGTTCAGTTTTAACTGTGATTGTATCCTGGGGTCAGCAGCTTTAGCATGGTTTTGAAAGAGAAAAATATATGATGAATATTATCTTGACCTGCTTTGATCTTTATTTTCAGGTGGATGCTATCATTGATAAAATCAGTTACCCATCTTACATTTTGAACGATACGTTCCTTGATGGGTACTATGAAAATGTAAGTTTGCTTTTTCATTGTTCTGATAGCGTATATAAACTTTTAGTTTAATAATTTTGATATTGAAACTGGTCTCCTTTTGACAATGAAACTGGTCTCCTATATGTTAATAAAGATGAGATTAAATGGTAAGAACTGACAGGATGTTTACTTACGGATAAATTTGCAATTTATGAAACTTGATGCATGTGTTTCCCATGTAAGGTTGTACAGAAGTTCTTAAAATGAAAAGAAATAGAAATGTTTTCCTCAATTGTTGATTTCTTTTCAAAATTACCAATACTCTAAAAAGTCATATTATTGTATAAGTTACGTTCATTTCAGTTTCCAAACTTTGCTTAGCACCGTCTATGGCCATGCATAAATAGTCTATACTGAAATGTGTGAAACAACGATGTTCTTTTTTTAGTTCTCAGTTGTTACTGGGGACTGGTTTTCCAATTTGTTGTCCTGGCGAAGATTTCTTCTGGGGAACATGAATACAGACTTACCCAAGGTGCCTAACAGAAAGACAAGGTAAGTGATTGTAGATTGCTAAGTTTCGTTTCTATTTCAGCAGTAGGGGGGTGGGGCCCCATGGTTCTACTGTGTTGAGCAAACAATAACACCTGCCGTGATACTGTGTGTTGTTAAAGGTGAATAAAGGGTGCATAGGTATATTCTCTTAAAAAGAGTCAGTCTGCAAAGAGTCAACTACCCAACCCCTTGGAATCACAGACCTTTGATGGCCCTCTATGGCCAGCTTGCCAGAAACGAAATTATGTTATTGCAGGCAGTTGTCAAATATAGGTGCCTGGGATTGTAAAAAAAAAAATATTTCAATCCAAGTTTAACTAAAACCATTGAATACACATTGGGGTGGTTGGGGGGAGGGGTTTGACTCATTTTAAGGCTTGATGTAAAGTGTTAAGTTTGCATCGATCCCTTTATGCTCTATGATTTCGTACTAAACTGTTGTTCAATTACTGTACATATAGCACACAATACACCGCATGTTTATGTACCCCGTAATTGTTCTCAAAGCAAGTGTCTTTGTCATCCTTTGTGGTCCAACTGTACATGAAGTAGGACAAGTCTGTTGATTTGTTATACACACTGCTATGTTTATAACAAATCAACTGATCGCAGTACCGTAGGCTAATTATATCGAATATCACATTAACAATAAAGTAAACATATGGGAAGAAAGAGTTATCCTTGACAAATATGATAACTTAAGTTGATTTGTTTAAATTGTCCAAGACAGACATGATAAATAGTACAGTGAATCCAATGTTGTCTCACAGTTTTTCTTTTCTTCTTCTCCCTCAGTTGGCTTCGTCCACCAGTGACTGTGAATGCCCTCTACTCTCCCATTAGAAATGATGTCATGTTCCCAATTGCAATGTTCCATTTACCTTTTTACATTCCTGATGGCCCGAGGTAAGCTTGTTTATGTCTGATTATTGTTCTATGTAAAGTTTGGCATTAACATCGGATAATAATAATAATAATAAATAGCATTTGTGTAGCGCAAACCCCTACTGAACAGCAAGCTCTATGCACTTTACACTATATTATTACCCCAGCAGATCATAGCACACTCCGAAACATTCTCAGCTGCCCGAGAAGCATACAGTGCAAGCAGCTGATTAAGTGCTCAAACACTAACAAATACTAATAATTGTTTGTTCATCAATGTCTGACGATGATCAATGCATCTGCAGAAGAGAACATGTTTCTGAAGAGGAATAGAAGAAATTAGAAGAATTAAGATGACTTTTGTCTTCTACTTTGGCCAATGAGACCAATGCTGGCAGAGGTTTTGCCACATATTGAGCATTTAAGAACTTCATTTCCACTTTTGGATTTGTACAGCATGTAGACATCTTTCATGGCTTCAGAATTTCAAATTTTGTGAGGCCTTGTATGATTTGCAGCATCACATAGGAAAAAGTATTATAATATCTTTGCAAGAACTGAACTTTACTAATTACTTATTTTTCCACGGACATAGGTTTATTTCTCTCTTTTTACATTATTCTTGAGCTATTGCTGTAGCAGAATTTTAATGATATTTTAAGGATTCAATTTGTATGCATGCAACTTGGATGGCTTTCCAGTCATTTTTATTTTTTTGCTTGTAATCTTTAACAGCAGCAAAACTCTTATATTCATATTCAAATAATATTCATTTTAATTGACCTAGAAATTCGTACAACGCCTTACAAATACAATTCAAATGGAAGGAGTCTACACAGTACCAGTTGTATTGTTGGGAATGCTCCCTGTGGTTATCTGAATGAAATTCCAATGAATATTCTTGAAATCGTTTTTTAGTAGAAGGCAACACAATTTGTTGGCACAAGAATCTGTTTATCGCATATATTACTGTATGTGCAAACTATACCAGAATATTTCTGATCAAAATACCCCTCTCATATGTGTGAGTGGTAATTCATGTGTGTGTGTGTGAGTCTCTGTGTATATGTGTGTGTGTGTGCGTGTGCATGTGTGTGTGTGTGTGTGTGTGTGTGTGTGTGTGTGTGTGTGTGTAGCATAAAAGTAACCTCAAATATCTTTTCAGTGCTGTCAACTTCGGTGCCATGGGCTCAATCATTGGTCATGAAATCACTCATGCCTTTGATTTTCAAGGTAAGATTTGCTAGATGCAGTTTTTACCTCAGCTCGTTTTGTTACCATGCAGTTCTGGGGGACGAATTGTAACTTTTCTTCTAGCTGAGAAATGTAACCTGTGTCATATCACTTAAAAGCCAAATAACTTAATCTATTCTTCTTAGTTCAGACACTAAAAGGAGTTTGCTTCTTTGCATTTTTTGTTCAAATTTGTTTTTCTTAGTGACATTAAAATACTGCATTCAAATTTGTCTTTTGAGTTATGGTGTCCAAGTTTAAAGATGTCAAGCAATTTCAATGTTAGCAAATGTTATAGTTTTTGACAATATACATAAACTGTTAAAAACCACCTTTGATTTCTGCCACCTGTCAGAAGTGAATTAGTTTAGATTAATCATCCAAGCTTTCTCATTAAATTTAAGCTCATCATCATCAGCAGCCTTTCTCACCTCGTTTTGGAGTAGGCCTACAGACCGCCTACAAGAACTGTCCATGTATTTCTGTACTGAGTTATAAACTTATTACCACCACCTCTATCTAGCTGTATCCTATCTCCTTTAGGTCCAAACTTTTTTAGGGGCGTTGGCATCTCCCAAGACGTTTACATTTTGATCTTTTCTTGATGTTTCTGTTGCAAGGGTGTTGTTTTATGGGACAGGATGCTGCCTCTTCCCTTATAGGGGGTGCCCACTATGGCTGGATCGGGCTGATCGCCCAACTTGGTCACCTGAAACTGAAAATAAACATGTTTGTTTTTGATTCGACCGAGTCGGGCGTTCGGCCCCCTTCCGTAGTGGGCACCCCGTATTAACTCAACCCCCCAACCTGGAAGACCTTGTGGTTTATGTTGGGAGACACTCCTTGGAGTCTTTAGTCACCCTCTTATGACACACAGACCAAATGTCAGCCTTATTCTTCTCTCCGCCAAGGTCTGCGTGGCTAAAGTTTACACTGCGTTTAACATTACTTTCACAGGTCGTCAGTACGATGGTTTGGGCAAATTGTCCAACTGGTGGGATGAGCAGACTGCTCAGAATTTTTTTACTACAACAACGTGCATGAAAGATCAGTACAGCCTCATCAAAGTGAGAGGGGTGAAGGTGAGTGGAGTGTGAGATCAGAGAAAAAAACTAATTATAATCAACTTTTAGCTGTTACATTCTCCTCCGAATTGTTGCACTTTTAAAAATGTGGGTCAATTAAAGTACTTCAATAAGACTACAATTATTGTTAGTACAGTGATGCTTTATGATCTATTTTTTTTTCTTAGATGTTGCGATGTATTTAATATATATGTACATGCACTGATTATATTACTGTAGGACTTCATAAGGACATTTAGACTGAAGTATTTAGATCAAACAAAATAATGTTTCGATCATGAAATTCTTTTATGTTAATATAATCATATACCAGAACTACACTTCTACATACTGCAGTTATTATCAAGTCTTAAAGTTATTTTTAAACTTCGAGTTAGTTTTTAGAGTGTTTTTTTAGAATAAATTTTCTGTTAACGAGTTTCCTCAATGTCGTAATAAAACAGCTGTTTTAATTAAATGATGGGATTATTTGGAAAAACTTAACTTTCATTTCAAATTTCATATAACTTGCACTCTCATCTTGAACTCCACAGATTGATGGTGACTTCACTTTAGATGAAAATATTGCTGATAACGGTGGCATGCGAGCAGCTATGTTTGTAAGTTGGGATTTCTTTGAGTGAAAAGAATTTCTCTTGTTGTTGTTGTTGTTGTTGTTGTTGCTCCTTTGCAGTTGTTGTTGCTGCTGTTGCAGTTGTTGTTGCTGTTATTGTTCTTCTTCTTCTTCTTCTTCTTCTTCTTCTTCTTCTTCTTCTTCTTCTTCTTCTTCTTCTTCTTCTTCTTCTTCTTCTTCTTCTTCTTCTTCTTCTTCTTCTTCTCTCTCTCTCTCTCTCTCTCTCTCTCTCTCTCTCTCTCTCTCTCTCTCTCTCTCTCTCTCTCTCTCTCTCTCTCTCTCTCTCAATGTTTACATAATTTGACCATTGTTTGGTACTTCTTTATCCTTAGGAGCTTTTGGCTAATCAGTAACACTACTTTGTATCTAATGTGTAATTCAGCTTTGTATATATTCAAATTGGGTAGTATCAATACATAATCTGCTCTCTTTGTTCTTAATACTAGTCTTTCATTTGAGAATACTTTCCACATCTAATCAGAAAAAAACCCAATATTTTGGGGTATTTTTTTCTTGCTTCACTTTATAGTTTAATCATGTACGTGTTTTAGTATATTTGCAACGGCTTGTTATCTTTATCCGTCTAAAACTCAACATTTTCTTCGCCAGGCATACCAAATGTGGATTGACCAGTTCGGAGAGGAGCTGGACCTCCCAGGTCTGAATATGACCATGTACCAGATCTTTTACACCAGTTATGCGCAGGTATAGTCAGATGCCTTAGATTTCTTTTGGGAAAACAAAGAAAAAGAAAACCTGTCTTACGCACTGCTTGGTGTTTCTGCTTACAAAGGCAAATATTTTGAAGATAATGTAATAAAATTATGTTTGCTATAAACCGGTATGTACTGACAATGTGTGTATCAATGCTTGTTGTGCTCTTGGAGAAAGAGTGAGAGACAGACAGACAGACAGACAGACAGACAGACAGACAGACAGACAGACAGACAGAGATACTTAATTCATTTAGAAAACTAAAGATATTATTTTCAGATTATTTTACAGCCACCATTTTAAGTTCAAACTTACACCAAGAAGTAGGCCTATATCAGTGATTTTTTTTTTCAAGAATGGTACCTTTATAGTGTACTTTTCTTTTTGTTTCCCACTACTGAACCATCACTGAAGTTGTTCAAAGGGTGTCAATCTGAAAGTGAAATAAACTTTGAATTTTTTTTCTTTTTTTTTCTTTCTTTTTTTCCCCCGTGTCCTGATTTTGGTGCCCGTTTTTGTTGGTTACGTAAAAAGAAAGTAATGGTGCAGATTGTTATATGAAAGGGGAATTGTTGAGTCGGTAATGATGATGATGATGATGATAATGCTGATGATGATGATGATGTTGTTGGTGATGGTGACGGTAATGGTAATTGTGATGGTGAGCATGAGAATGATTATTTATGTTGGCGAAGATGATGTTCTGATGTAGGAGATGACGTGCGTATTAGTCATAGTGTTAAGTTTGTTTGGTGCTTACTCTAGATCCCCGCCAGGCTGTCCTGGGGGGCAGGACACAACCCTCATTCCCAACTCCTTGCATAGAGTAACCAAAAATTTGGATATTATTTGGATATAATTCATCATCTTCATTAAATTTTGAATTTAATAACGATTTTTTTTGGCGAACAACAAACATTTCATTATGTGACTGAATTTGTACTTGATATAAACGGGGGGAGGGAGAGGGATGGCTCAAAAGTTCACATGTATTGAGTTTTGAGTTAAAGGCTTAGATAATATGAGGATGTACTTGGCTCACAATAAAACATTTTTAAAATGTAAAAATACAGTGCATGCAATTCTTGTTCCAACTGCAATCTGCAGATGTACTGTAGCAAGTGGACAGATGCTGGGCTGTTCCTTCATCTCCTCACAGACCCTCACAGCCCGGGCTCAGCACGGTAGGTTTATAATGACCTTCACCTCATACTTTGAGTCATAGTTAAGCTATCTGTTCTTTGGCTTTGTTACTGCATGTTGTTTTCTTTGGCGGTTGGTTGCCTATTGTTGTTGGGTGGTGTTTGGGGATGTTCGGGTGTAATTTTCTATGATGGATTGTTGCTGTTTTTCCTGTTTTGTTGGCTGGAGGGATATATAAATAAACTGATCTGAATTATGTTGAAATACAAGTGTTTCTTATATTTACATTTGAATATCATGTCCTTTACATATTTTCAGTATTAATATTTTTTTCATGATATTTTCATTTTCGTTTGCTCAGAGAAAAAAATAGATTTGACGTTAGAGTTTTATTCTTAAGGAGCATAATTATTTATAATAAGGAGAACAAACAAACTCAAGCTTGCTTCTAAGAGTATTTGGGGCTGCTATGGAATTATTTTTTTTATATTCAGAGCTAAAAATCAAGAAGCAGAACAATTTGTTTCAATCAGTCAAGACAAACTAAATATCTTGCCAACTGATAAAGTATTATTTTTGGAAAGATATATCAGGCACATAAAAAGAACTTTGGTTAAAGTAAAGTATTACCCTTTGTGTCTTCATGCATCACAAGGATCACAAGCAGCTGTTTCCTGTTGTGGGTGGTTGGCGGGGGTTCTAGTATGGTTTGCTCCTTCTTTCTTATCAAACATCTATCATCTTTATCTCTCCTCCTTCTTTTTCGTGTCTGTTACTCTCTTGTAACACCTCTAATCTTCAGCTTTTATATGACCTATTGTGTTGCAAGTGCAGTAGAACTCTTAATAAATCTAAAACTGTTTCCTGTTCTCAAAAAACTTAGCTTCAACCTCACTGTGACCGGCACAGTGATCCTGGATGTGGCGCACTAGGTCAAACAATTTTAAAAGCGGAGAGCAGCAACTTTACTTTTACCAAAACTTTTTAGTATATACGGGAACGAGAACTATATTGAAAGTTGTAATTTTGTAAACTGCTTAGCGTAAATTTGTATCTTATTTCTTTTTTACATTGTCCCTTCTTAATTTAATTTATTAGCTCAACGATCATTATATATATAAGTATATTGTCATATGAGCAAGTACAGTAAGCTAATAACTTTCTGTCTATTTTACAGGGTAAATGGAGTCTTATCCAACAGCCAGACGTTCAGCTGGGCATTTAAATGCCCACTAGACAGCCCTATGAACCCAAGAGTGAAATGTGAAGTGTGGTAAAACAGTCCCCTGGATCCGGAATCAGTGCGAGAAATCTATGGTGTTTCAAAGGGATCCATTTATTTTTTAACAATTTCAAAACTGTGCAGCTACAGAATTATGGCACGTTTATGGAAATAAAGTCAGCTTTTTGTCCTGTTCGTTTATTTGAGCTTTGAGCTGAGCTTTATAGATTACATGAATCAGCAAAGGTGTAAAAAATGCAGAATGATATATCAGTCTTTATGAGTAGTTTGACAAAATTATTGTTGCTACTTGTGACTGATACTGACAGATAAATCTTGAAATAATATTTAATGAAACTGATGACATCCATGATATTTTGGCAGCATCATATTGTTGTCAACATGATATTAGATTTGTCTTATATTTTGAACAATGATGGAAATTTTAAACAATGATAGCTCTCATGTTTTAGAACTGAATAAGGACTGAAAGTCTAATATTACTTTGATGTGAGATATTAAAGTTTTGAGGCTTTTCATATGCTGACATTAGAAACTATCCCCTCTGTTTTGGCACATTCCAAGTAAGTGGGCTGGATTTTTTTTCATTTTGTGTATAGTATGCTTTGTTTTGTCTTGATGATTATGGTGTCCGTACATTGTTTGTTGACTAGGTGAAATGGGTCCTGTAACAAACAACTGCATGTATCTCTATGGCATGGCCTTTGATTTGCAGGCCCGTTTGGTCGATAAGACCCTAATCTAGGACTGCTTCACCATGAAGTGGCAATATTTGCCATCTTGCTGTTCTTGTACTAGCATGTCACCTGTCATGATGTTAATTTAGAGTATGCCAAGCCAATTTTGTCTTGTCACGACTGAATAGAAAGATAGATAATGACTCGGGCAAGTGGAAAAAGTACATAGAGCACAGACCTTGAGTCACTCTAGAAATGAGGGCATCAGTGACCAATTGTGCAGTGAAAGATACATAAACTTTCTCAGTTTGAAGGTGAATTATGAAAAGAGATGATTTAGAGGCTGAAGAGTGTGTACTACATTTTGCGATTTGTCTGAGAGAGCCGCTTAAAGTGATTGTCTGCATACTGAGGAAAAATATTTCTGATTTCTGCAATTATGACACTTCTGCTGTCAAGCAGGACGAGGGGGAGGGGGGGGGGGTTCCTGGGAAGCATGCATGACCAAAGTGACCACAGGTGATGGACCTTGCTGTGTTCGTTTTCTTGTGTTGCAACAGCAGCGTACCTTGTGTTGGCATTTATGTATTGAGCTAGTTGATGTGGTGAACAGCACAGTATCCACCCACGCAACACACTGGAGAGCTGTTTCATCTTCTGGCATAATGTGGAGAACTTTATACAGGTTCAGTACCTGTGGTGCCAGCAATTTCCTCTGAATGTCTTTGCTGTGACGCCCACAGAGTAGGCCTTGGTGAGGTTATGATGCTCTCAACCTGCCAAGTCTCAGTCAGCCCTCAGAGAAATGATCGGAGTGATAAATTCCTGTTTCAAACCCTGACAATGCTGCTCTAGATTGTAGTTGGTATGGAGAGAGTCAACAAGCCTTTTGAAACATATCCCTGGCTTCAGAACAGAAATCTTCAAGGTCAGCTGTGGCTATACTGTCTAATATGGGATGGGGATTAAAAATTCAAATTCTTTCAAGAACCAAACGAGCGAAAACAAATCTGCTTTGTTGAACCGACCTTCTTGCTTAATCCTCGCCTTTCAAGGTGCAAGGTGTCTCATGTGAAGGTGTAACTCTATAATTCTTTTATCTAAAGTTTAAAGAGAGAGTTGGCTCTGCTGCATGAGGAAGAATTTCCTATAGAAACAGAATTTGTCTTTCTGTCATGGTTCTGCACACACTGAACAAAGTAATTTTTTTCAAAAGTTTACTTATCAGGACTTTTGAGATTTATTTAAATACTTGAAAGACATGAATCCCGCCCTTTTCACCAATTTTGTAGTGTCCTTTTGTGGGTTCATTTTGTGAAACATTTAAATACTGTGTTCCTGAAAATATAGTTCATATTCTTTGATTTGATACATTGACGCACACAAAACTTGTATGCATCCTTTCATTCTTGGTCTCTACACTATGCCTCGTGAAAACAAACTGAAAGTGCTACCGAACAACAAATCACCTGTAAGGCCATTGTGGTGCCACTTTCAGGACTGGTGTGTCATGTTTTCATGAGAACAAAACCAAATTTGAATGTAGACACTGACAATAATAGTGTCAATAGAGCACCAACACGGCAACCATAGTGTCTGAGATCAGAAATTACCCCTTTTTTGTGTAGAAGTTAGAAAAATGTTAAAATGTTCATGTCCAATTTTTTAAAACCATCTGTATTGAGATTTTTCTTTCCTGGAGAAAACACACACTGCTATTACTCTCGCTGTGCTAGCAAGCTGTAATAACTACAAGAAACCCTGTATGGGACTGGATCATGTATTTCAAATTTTTTTGTATTGCAATTTCAAAATATTGGAGTGCTCTTATGATTATGTAAAAAAAAAAAAAATCAATAGTAAATATGTAAGCTATGTGGAAAAAATAATTACATGCATGCCCTTTTCATTTCTCAGAATGAAGGGAAAGTTGTCTGTTGCCTTTTTCTCAGACAGCCTTCGGCACAGCCTTTACAACCATTCTTTCCCTTTGAACCTCAAAGTCTCATTGAATGTGGACCCATCTTTGTCACTGTTCAAAGAGTGGGGCTTTATGCATTTAATGTGATTTTGAAAACCAAAGGATGGAAGGCTTAAATGTAAATGTTTGTGTGTGATCTGATAAGATAAGAAGCCATTTAAAGACTTTTGTTGTACGAAAAAATAGTCTCTTATAAATCTGAAGCGAAAAATAATTGCCCAAAACTTTGTCACTAAAATTCAACTTTTAATGAGTAGTCAAGATTGATCTTCTAAGAAGTGGCAATGTCAAGGTACCACTGTATACTTCAGTTATGTGTCCTGTAGGTTGTTTATTATGAGACACGTAATAAGCCTATATTATGGAGCTCGATGCATGACTACTGAGAAGGAGCTTTGCGTAACATTGTGTCGTATATTTTAATCTGGACTCCAATGGAATTTACTTTTTAAATGGCTTTTTATAAAAATCTGCAAAAGTGCCTATTATGTACTTTCATGTCATGATCTTCATCATCCACTTAATGTGGATTTTTCTCTTCTTAAGATGTTATTATGTAATACTGTTGTTCTCATTGTTATGTTTGCTTTAGGGAGTTCACTTTTTTACACAGATCTGGAATTACAATCACTTCTTTTTTTTAAACTAAGAAATAAGCGTAGCAGCAGTAATCCTTTCGCCTTCTCAGAAAAGCAGACGAGTCAGCTACACTTACTGAAGCAGGCGACAGCAGAATGATTCACTCTCAGTCTGAGTATGCCAAGAATTTCACTAATGTGGCTTCAACTGAAAGTCTGCAGCTTTGGATTTTTCCTTACTGTCGGTATGATAGTGTCAGTCAAGGAACAGCTTCAGCAGCTCTCATGCATTCAACTGTTGTGGTTTTCTTTGTGTTTTGAGTTGACATTTTACTAAGCACAAAAAGGCAATGTCAAAACTGTGCCTGTAGTTGTTGGGGTTTTTTTTGTTAGAATGAGAGCAAAGAATGAAAGGAAACAAGAACGAGGTCATATACTTAGAAAAAAAAGTCACATGAGCTCATTTGAACATACATTTTAATGCATGTTATACTACCTTTGAAAGGATCAGCTGTTGACTATCTAGTCGGCTAAATCACTGGTAGTTTACAGACTCAAGATATTGGGGGGCAATTTAGACTTTTCCATCTGAACTTTTTCACCTTTTTCTAGATGCGTGAATCTGAGCTTAAGATCGATTTGAGTAGATGTACTTACTATTTCTGAAACAAGTGGGTTTTGGGGTTTTTTTACCAAAAACTTTCATTATACAACACTGCACATCTTTGCTCTCCTCTCATACCAAGATTTGTTAATATCTTTGTGTACATGTATAAAATACATGTGTTTCAATGAAGAGGGCATGTTTTTGATAATTAACTATATGAAAACAACGGTTATAGTTATTCACGGCAAAATAACATGATTGCGATGCCAATGAAATTACAACACAAATGACATGCTGAAGGAATGCTCTGAAACTTGGAGACTTTTAAGGTGTCTCATCCTTGTGCATTTTTGATTTCGAGTGATAATGGAGCTTGCACAATTTCAGCCTGGCAAGCTGATGCTATATTTTATCAGTGTTGCAAAACATCAATATAACCATCTGAAAGCAAATTGGATGGGAGATTAAAAAATTAGAGTTGCTCATTTTAAAAGGCAACTGTTCTACTTGCAGCCGAAGAAAAATGGTACAAATTTCTGGCTAAATGCTTTTCGGGCAAAATGCTTATTCTTTGAAGCTGCTTGCTATCTGTATAAAAGTTAAATCAATCATTCACTTTTCATTTGCCAAAACTTTTACATCTTTTATTGTTCATGAGAATCTGATTTTTAGAATGAGTTAGAAAAGGTCCATTGCCACATTTAAAGATATATGCTAATTGCATACCTCATCAAAGTTTGCAAAGTTTCTTTCCCATGTTGGGTCATATTAGAGTGCTGTTAAGTGCTTTCTATAGATTTTAACACAAGAAAGTTGGCTATTCTGGTAGGGATGTCTTTTTCTCACCTTATCATACGTAGAAGCTGGGCTGGGCTTTTTAGGGCCTGTGTTCCATCACCCGCCTCTGTAATGATTTTGTTATGGCTTGTAGCATTCATAAATCAAAGTGCAATTATGAATATTAGCCATTACAATTTGCATTAAGAATTTGATCTAAATTTATAAATGGGAAAATCTGGAAGTTTTCCTGGAGGAATTGTCTGAGGCTGACATATTTAGGGAAGTTTATGAAAAGGTAAAAAAGAGTTAGCCTAAGGCTTTGAGCACAAACTAAGAGCTTATGTTGTGAGCAGGAGCTCAATTCTTTTTGGGAAGAGTTAATTCATTCAGAGCTGTTAATGAACATGCTCATGCTGATATTCTTTTAGCTTTTATGCTAGAGAAAGCCATTTAGAAATAATTAGCATGCATATATGAGCTTAGTAGCAAGTAAAATTAGCAAGTAGTCATAATTGATAAATGTCATTATGTTTGCATTAATAATTATATAAATAATTTATGTGTTCAGCTTAATCTGCTATGACTGTAAAAATGCCTCTGGTCAAAGACATATCTGTGATTTTGTGTGATAACGTTCAGTATGGTTTCATTATATCTTGCTGCTTGCCTATTTGATTTTGTGCTGCTGCAAAAATTAAGTTGCAGTCTATCTGTGTGGATTGTGGGTACAAAAAAATACAAAAGTGTTCAATGGAAAAAGGAGATTCAATAGATCAACAGCCACAAATGAGGAGGAAAGAAATGGGTAGAAAAGAAACTGAAAAAAAGGGAGAGTTGAAAAATATTTTTTTTAAAGGAGAGAGAGAGAGAGAGAGAGAGAGAGAGAGAGAGAGAGAGAGAGAGAGAGAGGGAGAGAGAGAGAGAGAGGGGGGGGAGAGAGAGAGATGGGGGGGGGGGGAGAGAACTTTGGACTTGGAGAGAGAAAATGTGCCATGGAGACAAAGTGAGTGAGTAAGAGTTAAGGCAGGGGAGTTTCTAAAGGAAGACTTGTACTACTATCTTGTAGCTGTGTCTGAGAATATTCTTGGAGAAAGAACACAACGTGAAAACATAGCATTTGCAATCTTTTGAGCCAATCATCAGTTTACAATTGTTATAAAAAGTAAAGAAACAGTGTCAGGGTACTATACTAGGTACGTAATTAATCAAGGATTATGTTTGACATTTTGTCTTCCACAACGAATTGTGTAAATACACGCTGACTACTGTTTTCCATTATATCAAGCATTCTTTGTCATTTTTCCTTCAGACATTCATACTTCATTTTACCCATTTTTGAAAATAAATTAAAAAGCTGAGTCACTGTTCAAATTTCAAATGAAAATAACACTTTGAATAATTTGAAATAAATATTTGGAAACTTATTCCCTTCTTTTATCTTGTTTCTTTACATGTTTTTTCATGTGCTTGTCTTATTTTTACTGACAATTCTGCGTACTTTTCAAGAAGTCACTTTGAGTACTTTGAGTTCTACATTGTTGATACCTTTTTAAAAATTCTTTTTATCAATTTGACAAAATCCTAGGGTTTGAGAGTTGATTTGAAATTTGATGTGGATGGTTGAAGGGTGCCACTTCTTTGGTATCCCTCTTTTGTTTCTGTCAGTCTTAATTTTACCCAGCACTAAATGACCCTAGTTGTGTTGATGTGCTTCTGGTACCTAAAACACAACAGGTGAAAGTTGACCTGTTTTCTGAAATTCCACCTGAGGTAACTCACCAAGCTTGTGGTGTAAAGCTCAACAAAGTTCTCCTTGTATGTTGTTTAAAGAAAAATCATCAATAGTTTCCATTTATACCTTAAGTAGTACTTGTGCTTATTGTATGTGAGGTGTGCTGACAAAATGACTTACTTCCCGCAATCCACAAAAGGGGATACTGGCCAAAAATCGACATAAAGGTCAAATTTGTAGATTTTTTATCGATGCCATATTCTTTAACTATAACCTGTCTTTTATTATTTCATACTAATAAATTGTGGAAACTTCACCTACAAGTAAGTGTTATGTATCTATTTCCTTCATGCTTGAATCTGAGAAGTAACTCGTTTTGTCAGCACGCTTCATATATTTAACTTTAACATTATATGCCAGTTCTAAACATACTGAGGGTTCTTTTTTTATCCCTGCCTATTTTTTTTATTTTTTTTAGGTGGTTATTTTTCTTAGTGTAGCTATTTTCACACCCCCATCGACATAATTAAGATCATTTAGGTTTTGTGCTTTGACCCATCCAGTCAGGGCCAACCTGGACTGAGAGGGATACAACATCCCAGCAGAAAGACCGAAATACAGGTGCTCAATGAACATTCTATCAAATGGGGAATCAAAATCAGGTTTCTCACAAGCGACAGCAAAGCTCCTAACCGATACGCCCGATGCCTGTCCTGTTTATTTAACCAATGTGACATCTGTAAGTACAACTAAATAACCTGGGGATCAAAAAGAAAAGTCCAAGAGCCACTGGAACAACAATATATTTAAAAAACTTTTTTGCCTTACACTACTTATCATTCAAGTAGTGTTCTTGAGTTTTCCACCTCTCTTTACATAAGAAAACTTGTGCAGCTCTGAAAAGATAATGTATATATATATAGCAGAACACTGCTATGGGGACATCTGCTTGGTCAGCCAAAGTCAGGTGAAAAGGTAAAAACCAGCACGGCTTTTGGGGACAAAGTTTTTCAATCATGTGAGTTCTGTTCTACCATAATGAGATAAAGATAAACATTATGATTACCACCAGCTGCGGCTTAGAATGGTCGCACTCTTCCACCGCCTCCCTCCCCCACACCTGGAAATGTATGCTATTGGTGACAAAGAATAACACAACATACAAAAAGCACACGACAGTTCACATAAAGTTGCCAGGTCACACATCACGTTCATATAAACAATTTTTAATAAACAACATTACTGATTGGTAATTCTCTTTATTGTCATTAGTTTTATCAGCGATGAATCTGGAGTATTTTTTAACAAAGAGTCCATAAAGAAAGAAAATAAGCTTAGCAATCCAAAAACAATATCTAACGGCAAAAAAGCAGTTCCATTCTTTTTTGGGCAAAATATGCGAATAACATTAACTTTTCCTCTGCCTCCACTCTTCAAGTTCCAAATATAATGACAAAATCAAGGAACAAAAGGTTTTTTAAAAAACGTGGCATGTACTATGGTTTGTCTCAAGCCAAAGAGAATTGTCATCTGTGAGTAAAAATTAATCAGATACAAAACTTTTTAACCCTTTATATTATAATTACAAGAGAATGTCAGCAACTGGTAAATAAGAAAACTTCAAGCACATATATTCCCCTTGAATATGTACTACAGTAATCTAAGTCAAGTATAGCTTTTATATCCCAGATGGCAAGAGATGCAAAATTTGCCATTTGATGTAAAGATATCAATCATTTTCTGAGAAAATATTACTTGACTTCCCAAAATTTAGCCTACAATTCAAGAGACGTTGGACACCTGAGACCACAAACTCACACTAGCATCTATGCTGGTACAAAAATGTTGCAATCAAGAATTAGTGTTTAAGTTAGCTTAGTTAGTTTGAATTAAATTGCACATCTAAGTCTCAAAGGAAGTAAAATCAAAAGTATAAAAATGCATGGAGATTTTGATTAAGTACTGATGTATACAAAATGATACATTTCACATAAGACATCACAAAAAGCAAAACAGCCTGCACCCATGTAAATTCTAAGCAACGCTGTTTAAAAGGACGGAATTGGTTTTATGTATCACAGTAAAACAAAAAATATATTATAGTATGTGGTCCTGCCACATCTTTGTCAGTAAAAGATCACAGTATATCTCAACATTGTGTAAGTCCAGAACAGCAAGATAATAATCTCAATGCAAGAACAAGTAAACAGACTTTCCGCAAACTTACAACAAACCATTTGCAACAATTTCTTTATCAACAACAGCAATAATTTTCTTTATCAAAGATAGCTATGTAAAATAATGATGAAACCAAAGACAATAACATCGATTTTGTCCATTGACACACACCGAATAAATGAAGAAGAAGAAGAATTGATATATTCATAACTTCATCTTAAAAGATCCTATCACAGATGATCTCTAAACAACATAGCCGTTAAAAGTTTCTCTGAATGAAAACAAAACCCAAAGTTTATTAACAAACTTTGAAGTGCTTCTTAAGTCATAAATACCCAAATGGACTACTTGCATCACTTGATGATCACAAGAACACTGTACATGCCACTCAGCAGAGAACTAGCTTCACTGCTTTTCAAAGCAACACAGGTGCTTACAAAACTCTTTATTAACCAATACCAACATTTTTCAGCAGTCAAAATATAAAGGTACTTAGCCAAGAGTTGAAAAAAATATTAACTTTTTTCTCTTTAATGTCAAATTCGGGAACACATTTAACATCACATCATCATAAATAATCAAAATTCAAATTTTTACTTTCCAAGACAACTGGAATGGGAAGGGGGGTGAGAGAGAGAGAGGGAGAGAGAGAGACAGGCAGAGAGAGAGACAGAGGGGGGGGGGGAGGGAAACAATAAAGTTTCACAGCACATAAGTAAATCTGACTAAAATCAAATACCTGGGATATAACTTTACCAAAATGAAATATTTGCAAAAGTTGAGTGTTTTATGCTGATTTGAAATCAAGATGATAGAAAATAAAAGGGGAAATATGGTTGAACAAGCAGTCAGAAATAGTCCTAAAAGCCTGTTATCCGTTTGAAAAGGATGCTTTTCAGGGAAATTGCTGTCAGATTGCTGTCCTTTTTGTTTTCACAGTGTTCCAGAATCTGACACAGATACATTTTCCCTGAAGCCTATTCTTTCAAGCCCAACTTGCAAGACTTTTGACAACAATTTCCTCCAATGCCCAACATTGACTACATACCCTCATCAAAGAACATTTTAGAAATACTCTGACATACGAGTACTTTAGCATGGCATAAAATCAAGAAATACTCTAACATACAAGTACTTTAGCATGGCATAAAATCAAGAAATACTCTAACATACTCTAGCATGTCATTAAGTAAAAGGACAAAAGCGTAACATTTGTTGGATTATCAAACATCAAAAAGCCTTTCTTTCTCCTTATTCTAAACAGAAACAAATTGCAGTCCTTGATTGTACCTGTACAAGATGATTCACCATAATCGCTTGCAGGCCCCTTGTGTAGCAATAATTTAAGTTTTACTTACCCCCCCCCCCCCCCCCCCGACACAATTTAGATCACTTAGGAGATGGGCTGTTTTGATCCAGCCTGGCTGAGTGGGATGCAACATTCAAGCAAAAAGAGAGATACTCACTAAAAAACTTCCCCACTCAAGGAATGAAATCATGTCTTTTTTGTGCTTTGTATAACAATGGACAGCCAAACTGCTACACCACACACACACCATGGGCCCCTTGTGAACAAGTTGTGAAGTTAACTTGTGTAAAAAGAGGAACATCAACACAGTAATAATCATTTAGTTTTAGAAAAAAGCAAGACTGATAGGGAGGAGGGGGGAACCAATGGTGGGAGATCAAAGTAGTGATTATGAAGTAGAGCCTAGCAGTGACACCCTCCAACCACCTCCATGATGAACAAAGCGTATGAAGTTTTGAAAACTTAAAGCCAAGCATCAATGATTTTTCGGAAATAAAATTAAAATTGTTCACTTAACAACAAATCATTATTTGTTACAGTAAAAGAACAATAACAAATCCAATATTGCAAAGAGCACACTGCCCATCAGCTAAGTTATTTGGTAAAGTATGCTGATAACCAAAAGGGCAAAGGAGTAAACATCATGTAGATAAAGGAAGGAGTTAAGGATTAAACAGTTTTAACAAGTCTTTTTTTTTTCTGGATCCAACAAAGTGACAGAAAAGTGTTCACTGCCTAAGCTTCTTCCTCTTCCTCTTCTCCGGCCACAGCTTCTCCTCTCTTCAGCTTGGAAATAACCTGAAATGTGAAACGCGAAAAAAGAAATTAAAGCAACTTTTAAAAACAACACATCTCTATACTTATACTAGAATTACAAAGCTTTATCTGCTCAGTAGGCCTACCTAGTTTTGAGAAATTTGAAGTTAAGGATTTTGAGTTTCACAACATGTCAAGCTTTTTCAAATGCAATTCTTTTAATATCTTGATAACCACTCCGAAAAATCTTACGACTTTGATAGAGCAGACAGAACTTTGGGTATGTGACCTCATGGTCTTTGTAACTCAGAACATCAGAAAATGTCAGAACTTTGTGATTCTGAGATAGTTATATGTCAAAGTGCAAAATAAATTAATGATAGAAACTAAAACTTCAGGTAAATTGAAAAAGAAATATTTTCTCAGAAACGCCATCCTTTTCTCTGAGTATTTACTTTCAGTAAGAATTCTACACCACTCAAAAAAACACCAACAGGTCATAGTTTCAAAGATTACAGGTATTGTTAGAGAGTAACATACAAAGAAAAGGAGGAGAGATAAGGATGATAGATAGGAAAGAAGGAGCAAACCATACCACAGCACCCACAAACCACCCACTTCTTTAAGTATGAAACACAACACTGATGGTATTCTGAGATAAGGATTTCAGTACAGTTGAGTAAAGGAAGAAAAAAGAAGGCATACAAAAAAATAAACCTTTCTATCAGTACAAAACATAATAATATACAAAATAATACATATAATATAACACCGATAAAGATGTAGGACTTACAGCCTTGAGGCGAGCAATCTCTTTGTTATCAGCGTTCTTTGAAGCATCATTTGTGATCAGTTTGACTCTAGACGCATATCTGGTGAAAATATAGTAACTCAAGGTAAAATATTTCTCACAAACCAAGGAGCAAAGGACAAAATCAGAAAACAGTTGCTGTGTAAACAACTAGTGTATTTACTTAAGTGTTTATGCTAAATATTCCACATAAAATATATCATCAGTGTACATACTGCATGACTCAGTGGAAACTTGACAAAATACTATGTTCTGAATGCACCTTCCCTATTGTTAGCATCTGGCTAACCTAAAAGACAGGTATCCATTTATGTTGGGTGAATCATAAAGACGGACTGTCAATATAAAGAATGTATAGTCCTTAATCTCTCTCTCATTCTCCCAAATATAACATCAATGTAAAACACAGCATTATGGCTCCCTCGTGACTTACCGCATACTCTTCATCACATATACCTACACACACACGCACACACTCAGCACACACAGCACACACACACACAAATACAAACACACACATACAAACACATACACACACACACACACACACACACATACATACACACACACACAAAGATACACTCATGTGTGCACACATTCATCACATCCATATCTTAATCTGGGAATAAGAGTTGTGATTTGATTTTCTTTGTCTTTGCTTTGACTTACTGAACGGTCTTACCAGAAGATAAGCACTGCTTGTCACTAAAAACAAAGAGCCCATCTGCTTAAACCTATTCAAACGCCCTGGCGTCATTTTGTACCCCGGGGTTGTATTCTTCACATTTTAGTATACTTCTAGCACAAAGATCTCTTTGAAAACTTTCAGTATTTCTCAAAAAATCATTTTGACAGACTGCTATGCAAAGCATACCGATCTGATTAACAAGTAAATTTCCTTTTTGGAAAGTGGTGGCACAGAGTTCCCCACGTCATATGGATACGATAGTAAAACACGACGTACGGATAGGGTTAATAACGATTAATAACTGTATTTATGTAGTGTATATCCAAACTCTACAGAATGCTCTATTCACTTTACAACATGTATTACACATACGTCAAAGAGATGACAGTCTCATCCACATTGTAGTCAGCTGGGGAGATGTTGACAAACATGAGAGTCTTTGCATTTCCTCCCAAGGAATCTTGCATCAACATGGTGAGTTTGTTGTTCCTGTATGGGATGAAGGACTGTTCACTGGACAAAGCAGAGATGACGTCACCCAGAGCTGACAGCGATTTGTTGATAGACATCGCTTCCTGAGGGGAGACAGATTAACAAACAAATTTCTCTCATGCATTGTAAATTTTGCAAACTAATAAACTAATAAGTGGTTCTTAAAACTAAGGTCAAACCTTCTCTTAAGACCACCTTTCCAAGACAATAATAACCTGTACAAATGGCCACTATCCACTCTCCTCTTTGCATTTTTTCTGTTACAATGACACTGTCAAAGATGACCACCTGTCTAAGCAAACAACTTTTCACCTCGACAATGAGTAGCATTGACATGAAAGTTTTGATAGTACGGTGAACAGGAGATACAAAGACTGTTCCAGGGAGCCCTTGAGGTTCTATAGTATTGCTTCAAATGAACATGAACATTGAGATAAAGATATAAATAATAAATAGCATTGGTATAGCACGTATCCCAACTCGAAAGCAAGCTCTATGCGCTTTACGCTATATTATTACCCCAGCAAACCATAGAACACTCACAAACATTCTCAGCTTCCCGGGAAGCATACAGTGCAAGCAGCTGGATAAGCACTCAAACACTAACAAACTGACAAGATCTTTCACTGTCTATAGCTGGGTACCCATTTTCACCTGGGTGAAGTTGGAAAAATTCATGTAAAGTGCCTTTCCCAAGGACACAACGTCAGCCCCGCGGCTCAAACCCCCGAACCTGCAACCTCACAATTACGAGTCTGGTAACCTAACCACTAGACTACCGACGGCACATTCAGACCATCAAAGCGCAAAAAAACCTCAACTCAGCCCACCGTGATAGTCTCACCACAGCACAGGAATGGCAAAAAGATCCAATCTCTACCCCAGGATGCTTAATGAATTGGGACTTGACAGCCACACTCAAATCCACAACAAGAAAAATAAAAAGATTGCATATATGACACCATCAGGTCAATGGGTCTACATGTACTACTGACTGATACAGATTCTTGATAAGCAGATAATATAAAGCTCTTACATGTACCACTCTTAGTTTTAGTAAGTGTTTTACGGCACTCACAACACAATAAGGTCATATAAGTGCTGAAGATTAGAGGCGTTACAAGAGAGTAACAAACACAAAAAAGAAGGAGGGGAGATAAAGACGATAGATGTTTGAAAGGAAAGAAGGAGCAAACCACACCAGAGCACCCGCCAACCACACACGTACCACTCTTAATAATATTATCAGTGCAGAAAATAGGAAGAACCAAAAATGGTCAGCTCATCTTCCTTAGTGCTGCAAATCAATTTTTGAAATTATTTCATTCTCTCACCTTCAACTGCTCTGCTGTTGCTCCTGTCTTGCCCACTCGCTCGCTGCCTGCCAGATCCACTAAGCTGAGCTATGGTGAAGACAGATCAAATTGAGTGTAAAAATAAGGCATAAATAAGACCAAAAAGCACCCACCAAAAAAAAAGTTATAATCCACCAAAGACACACAGCAAATGCCACAATGTATATTTTTCTCTTCATCAAATACACAGTAGGCTACTACAATGCACACTTGGTTCTCCCATAGCCCCCCCCCCTCTCTCTCTCTCTCTCTCTCTCTCTCTCTCTCTCTCTCTCTCTCTCTCTCTCTCTCTCTTTCTCTCTCTCTCTCTCTCTCTCTATTTATCTATCTATCTATCTCACTCTCTCTATCTATCTATCTCACTCTCTCTATCTATCTATCTATCTCACTCTCTCTATCTATCTATCTCACTCTCTCTATCTCACTCCCTCTGTGTTCTGGATTCTGTATGTCTGTTTCTGCGTTCGTAAAAAAAAATTTTTTAAAGAAGTAAAACAGGCTCTCATAGCCTCTGCACTTGTCCTGCTGAGAGTAAATAATACTGCTACATAACTTCATTCAAACTTACTTTTCCTTTCATCACAGTGCCAGTTGTCTTGTTGGTGGACTCCAAGACTATACTGAGAATCAGATGTGATCTGGAACTTTCAGCATTCATTTCTGTGGGCAGGCAAGTCCATTTGTTCATTATGAACTGTTTTAAACAATTTTTAAAAATTCATTTTCTCACTGCATAATCTGTGACTGCTGTAAAATACCTTTAATTTTGTGTGATTTCTTTGCTTTTTTAAAAATATCTTTGCTGGGTAGGTGGGTACATCTGTCATGCTTTTAAATTCTTAAAACAATTTACACATGACTTACAAATGTGACAAAAATACAGTCTGCAAACATTCCCAAACTAATCATGAATAGGAGGAAGAAATAGAATGTTATACAACCTTCTTGCAGAAAAAAAAAACCAAAGCAACATCAATGGCGCAGTCAAACTTAAGCATAAGCTTCAGCTTTTAAGTCATAATATGTGAGGCAGCATGGTGAAATCAGACGCTCGTCAAAATAACGAAATCGGAGAAACAGGCATTTTTCCGCCAGTTTGGAAATTTTCATCAAATTTTTATTTTTTTGGCTTAACCTCTTTTATGTCCATACTCATTAGCTACTGGAATAACCAAACTTTGGCAGCCATTTTCTAACTAATTTCAACAGTGAAAAAAGGCAACCTCACCTTCAATCGCAAATATCTTGAGTTTTATTCAAGATATTTGGACGTTTATTTCATTGGAAGCAAGGCAAATAAATCATCTTTCAAATGATACCAGTAACTCCATATGCCAAAAAATTTACGAGCGCTTGATTCCATCGCATCGTGACAAATACAAGATGTATTTTTTAAAAAGAGTACAAAAAGGACCACAAACTTGTTGAAGCAGTGTGCCTGTTCACAGATCCTTGTTCAAACAGTGTATTCAGCTCTTTAGCATCTGAGGCTGGCTTCACTATAGCTCCATGAACAAACACGAGCCCTTTTTTGTCCTTCTTAATTTCCATTCTCTCCTGTGATGTGAAAAAAACATAAAAACATTACATTTAAACCTTCTCTAATAGCCACATGTCTAAGACAATCACCTGCACAAAAGACCACTTTCTGCTACCCCTTTACGTTTTTTCTCCTTTACAATGACTCTGTCCTAGACGTCCTCTTGTCTAAGACAACAACAACTTTTCTCCTTTACAATGGGTGGCCATCTAGAACAATTTCAAGCATACTTCAATATCAGAGGCAATTCTGTGTTTTCTGTCTTCTCGTATTGTCACTTCACCAATTTTTATTTTTTTTAATCGATATCAAATGAACCTTTTTAACAGATATGGCTCCTTATAAAAAAACAACAACAGTAATTTATTTAATTTGTTGCTTCCACCGGGAATAAATTTCATTCGTTTCATAAAATTTCATAATAAAACTAGGCACCCTTTAAACTCAAGTATACAAAATGAAAAAGGACTTTTCAACAATACAGTCATAACCTTTCAACTTGAAAAGTTAAAGTCACTGCTGGCATTCAGAAGAAATTGGCTGGGTTTTGAAATATTGCCCCATTGAAAACTGAAAACCAACGATCACAGGAAAAACAGACATAAATAACATTTTAAGTTTTTTAAAAAACATGGGGCCACCCTCTCCATTTCTTTTGCCTTACATTGCACTCTACCCATATAACAACTCAAACCTAAAAAAAATAGTGATAACATTAAAATTTAAAACTGCACAAAAGATTTTATAATGTTCCCATACATCATCAGAGGTCCCTGCTTTTGCAAATAGATCAATCAGCTTGTCGTTGTAGAGCTCCATCATGTAAACTGTGACACTCATGCTGAACTTTGACCTGTTCACACAAATACACGATCGGTCATTGCAAAACATAACTGAAAGACTTTGTGAAAGGGTATACTTCTACTATCCACTAAAGCAACTATCAATTAAACAAACTTTAAGAAAAATTATTCAAAGGTTTCTATGAATCACGGCAGAGCTTTCGGCTGAAGGCACTACACATACCAGTTATTGAACTGAGATAAAAGACAACGGCGGTTGTAGATGAGATGATATTCCTTACGCTGACAGAATGAAATCAGAGAGAAAAGAAACAAAAAGGTCAAGCACACATATCAAGAGACTTTACTTTAAATGTCAGCCCCTGATTATAAGGGCGGCTTTCATTTTCATGAGTAGCCACAAAAAGAGCATAATCAAGGTGACACACCAGCCTCAAATTGTATAGAAAGACAAATCCACTTCAAAGATGTGGCATACTTATATCAGTATAAATAATAATAATAATTTCTGTAACACGCACTCCTATATGATAGAACTCTAGGCACCAATGATTTTTACTTTGTTAGTTTAATATCTCACATCAAAATTTGTTTGACCATACTTGTTTTCTTCTGCCAGTTCAAAAATTCTTTCAAAAGCCCTTGGAGCAATTCCAGGGAACTTCTTAGAGCTGTCTCCGATCATAGTGAAAGTCTTGCCAGAGCCTGTCTGACCGTAGGCAAAGATACAGACATTGTATCCATCCACAGCAGACTGAATTAAGTTCTGCGGACACAAAAAAATTTGATCAAGAAAATCAGAAATTGTTCCAGCCATCAAAACATGAGTAGTAACACTTTCAAATCTTGCCGGAATAAATTGGCTAAATTTAGCAGTAACATGAATGAGCAATCTGTGCTCTTGGAAAACCAAGCTCACAATAGCTTTTCAATATCTCTGACTGAATAAAACAGTGTGATGTATACCCCCAATATTGTTATTGAAGTTTAATAGCTTGTTAAACAGAACATAGGTACTCAAGTTAAAAGCAGATATCTTACTGATGGCCCATAAAACTGCCCGTGTGCCTAGCCAATGGTACAGCAGTGAGCGAGACCCCATCCCCAACCCGGCCCGCCTCAGTCAAAACGCATATGGAAAACAGCGTTTACTACAAAAGACTTTACTATTTTGAAGATGTTTCTAAATTAGATGCTGGTAATGACAAGGACTATCCTTAGTAGGATATGGAATGTGATTCTGACAATCATATGAATGTTAGTAATGTATCGCTCAGGAACTCAGGCAGAGGGGCTCTATAGCCTCAGGAGGTCAGGGCTCAAAATGTTAACCCCCTGGCAAGATTCCAGGCTGACAATACATATTCCACAAACAAAAAAAGGAAACATTTATATATTATTACTAAATTGTGAAGCATTTTGTCACATTATGCTACGCAAGTTTTAAAAATTGAAACCATTATTCATGTGAATACTATGTGACAGTTCCTCACCAGTGGAGCACTATACATGCACAAAGAACTAATTAATAATAATAATAATAAATAATAAATAATAAATAGCATTTATACTGCGCATTTCCATTTCCTAAAAGATGCTCAATGCGCATTACAATGAAAAAGACATCACATCTTAAAAATTAATCGACACAAATGTGTACGTAAAACAAAGTATTATACATATAATATAAATGCATATGTGTAAAATTTTATACCAGAAAAACAGTCTTGCAGTGAGGTTGAAAAAGTGTTCACTAAAAATATACAATGCAATAAAATTCACGAACAGTCAAAATAAAGTTGAAATGTGAGTAACTAGAAACATTCATTAAAACATTAATTCTATACAGATAGAAAAACATTTCCGTTCTATCTCTCTCTCTCTCTCTCTCTCTATCTCTCTCTCTCTCTCTCTCTGTCTGTCTCTCTCTCCCTCTATCTCTCTCTCTCTTTCTCTCTCCCTCTCTCGCTATCTCTCTCTCTTTTCTCTCTCTTTTCTCTCTCTATCTCTCTCTTTTTCTCTCTCTCATTCTCACTCGCTATTTCTTCAGTCTCACAGTCTGGCATACACATGCATATATATCACAGTAAATCATTATGACAGGTGTGCTTTTGTGAATTAAAAAATGCTTCAGCTGATTTTTGAAAATGGAAATTGTTGGGGCAGATCTTATTGTATATGGGAGTTCGTTCCATACCTGGGGACCAAAGAACAAAAAGGAACGCTCGCCGTATGTTTTGTAATTTTGTTTAGGAGTTTTAAGAATTAGATTGTCAGAGGCTGATCTATGGGCTCTGGGTGGATTATATAATTCCAGGAATTAAAGAGGTTCACAATAAAGAACTGGTCTCCATGTTGGTTTAATAAGTCACTTTACAAAGCCAGCTCAGCATTTTCACACCAAAATACCACTTCCAGTTGATAACCTCCAGGTATAGTGTCACAGCGACCAGCAGTGACATCTTACACTTCTCAAAACAGCAGTGAGTCACAAGAGGGAAAACCACATTGTTGTATAGATTTGATGGTTTCCTTACCACAAATTCACGTGTCCAGCTCTGCACAGCTCAATGCCCAATGAGTCTACAATTTTCATTCAAAGGTTGAATGAAGGCTGCCTGTCAGTTGTATCACTATTTAAGGACACACAAGTCATGACACCAGAAGATCTTATATAGGCAAAGTTGTAACCTTTTTTTTTTTTCAAAAGTACTTTTACTTCAAAGGTTCAAAGACCTATCTCAATACAAAGAATTATAAGTGTAGAAGACTCAATACATTCCCAAAATAACTTCTTCACAGCTAATTTGCTACTTTTGATATCATCTTTTTCTTTCAAGAATTTAAACATCACTGACGTACTCTTTTGTCCACACAATAATAAACATTATCATAAATGCCATGCTGGATCAACAAATACAACAGCAGCAGGGCGAAATATCAACTACTCACATTAGTGTCCTCAAACACGGACTCTTGAGAACTGTCCTCCATAAACACATGATCATACTGGAACTCCTTCAGCCCTCTCTGGGAGGCCACTGATAGTGTGTACTCATCCGCCGATTTTAAAACAGAGACGTTACCCTGGAATTATAACAATAAAATTATAAATGAGACAAAACTTTTTACCATGAAGTAGGTGTTCACAGCAAACTTTAATTATCTTTTTATTTGTCACAACTGTAGAAACAATTGCCATTCTTAAAGTAGATATTAATTAATCAAACTAAAAATGAATGAGAAGATACAACACAAATTTGCAGAGTTCATTAATGATATTACAGATTGTTACTTACCCTGCCACTTTCAGTAGAGCTCAAAGGTCGAGCTCTGCAGTACACTCGGATTTTTCCCTTCATATCCTCAACCATGTTGTAGTATTTCTTACGCAGGACCTGTTGTTAAATAGTGCAACATATGAGACAAGGGCACATCTCAACAGATGAAAATACTTCTAACAGGAGGTAAAAGTCATATTGAAATAGAAGTCCTCCCTTTAACTTTCTATTAACAAAACATTTGAATTCCAATTATAATAGATTATCACACATTTGTTTTCTTAATTCCAGCCATAACACACATCTTAATCAAGGACAAGTTTTTTTCTTATTCACAAGGGACCTGTTTAATCCAACTTCCCTCCCCATCTCTACAAAGATTTATTAGACATTTTCTATATAGCTTTTCCTAAAATTGCAAAAATACATTTTTAATGTAGATTCTCCTGTTTCTTTAAACTACACATAATGCATACAGCATAGTCCACTCAATCCCACCTGCTCTATCAAAAACACAGAGGAATGAAAACCTAGAGAAAAGAAAAAACTGGCTTACTCTTTCACTGTTGAAATTCTCTGTCAGTGTTTTGTTCTCATCTAATAACTTCTTGTTTTCTGACTCCAAAGCCTTCACTTTGCCAGCAGCCTGAACTCCTTCTTTGGCTGCTATGCCCAAAGCAGCCAACTCAGCACTGAGCTTAGCAACCTGAACATCTGCCTTGTTCAAGTCCTGTGTAATAACAGACACAACAAAATATGTTTAAGTTAAAGCGACAGCTTCTGTATCTAATTTATTTCAAATAAAAGGATTGCACAGCTTCACACTACGGTAACTCACTGTACCGGCCTGTTAATTCTACCTTTCTATCTCAGCTGTTAGGGGCAACCTGTAAAAGTCCCTATTCAGACATTTTAACATTTTCTTTCTATACTCACAAATGCATTAGTTCATATACAAATGTCATTCCCTGTAACTGTAATTTCCAAAAAATGGCAAGACAATATTACTTGAAATTTCTGAAGTATCTCAATACCAAAAAATACAGAGTACACATTTTTTTAAAGTACCTCTTACACATTAATAAAGTACCTGAAAGAGCCCTTTGGCTTTATAATTGGACTTTGAAAAAATGGGCTAATCAGAAAGGTCTTTGTGCAAATATCATCTCCTTGACCACTTCAAAGAACTCTGTATTTTTAGTTCATCTCTGTGTAGTAAAACACAATCAATCCAAAGAGAGAAATTATTGAATGGAGATTTACAGTAAAAGACCATAAAAATGAAGATGTAATTGTTCTCACCTTCTGCAAAGATGAAGCCTCATCTTCTTTTATCTTGAGATTCTCATTCAGTTTGCTGTTCTTAGCACGTTCCATATCATATCGTTTCTCCAGTTCTTTCAAGATCTTTTCATGCCTCTTCTGTACATTTTTCTAAGAAAAAAAAAAGAAAAGGCACATAGCAATATTGGAATTTCAAAAGAGATTTGAAATTTGGCTAAAGTTCAGTTTCCATCAATATTTAAAGACTTCTTAATTGATTTTTTAAAAATGGAACAACCAATCATCAAACATAAAAAGATTTCTTTCAACCCTGGGGACTAAACATCAACATCACAGAAAAACGTTTTAATTGAATATAGCAGATTCCTTATATCAGCTTACAACCAATACAACTGTGAAGTACAAACGGCATACTTAAAATTCAACAAACCACAAAAATATACTCCAGACTGAATCAGAAAAATATGAACAACGCTCAAATACCTCTCAACTGTACAAGATAGAAAGAGCTCCCAAATGTCCCCACTTAAACTTTACCATTTTCAGGCAACCAATATTAGCAACTCAGTCAATTAAATCAACAATTTTACCACAGGCTGAGAGGCCAAACTTACATCAGATGCTGATCCCCCAACAATAGCTGCACCTCCAACAATGGCCTCTCTCTCCAGCTGCCGAATCTTGGCGTTGAGCTCTTGGTTTTCTCTCTTCAGGCCAGCAACGTCTCCCCTGCCTTGAGGACCTTCACCAACCTGAGACTTTTGCTGCAGACATACATTTGAATGAATAAAACTCAGACAAACATATAAAAATAATAAAACTTTCAGACATATATTTCAGACATATATTTAAATAGAATAAAACTTTCAACCACACAGTTGAATAAAATCAAATTTTCAGACATACATTTTAGTGGAATAAAACGGTCAGCAAGGCTGACAGCATGCAGGAACTCAACACTTGCCCGGGGGTCCTTGAAAAGTGTCAGGCATATATATATGATGTTATACACCATTTAAAATCATGAAGTGTTTGGTCAGCCTTAAGACAGGAAGGAACAGTAGCTAAGCAGAAATTGAAGAAATTGAAAAAAAAAAAAAGTTACCATGAAATTACAGTGCTGCACTGATGCCAGGTAAGCAGTGGACAACACAAAATCAATCATGTAGAAAAATAAAACATAAATACTTACCCGTGTAACTCGACCAGGTTCCTTTCGGCTCAGTAATTTTGTCAGGTCTCGTACAGCCTCATCCTTCTCCTTCCTTGCAACTTTAAGACGCTCCTAAGATAACGGATTTAAAGAAAGAACTATATTCAGTCAAGAGACCAAGAGAACATTTCTGATATATACAGACAACCTTCGCTCATCATAATACATGCGTACATTTTACAGCATAAATCTGAGAAGGGGTTGCCTTTAGTAAGTCCAATAAATTAATCACTAAGTAAAAGCATTAAAAAGATTAAAAACTGGACATTTCAAATATAAAACAATATAAAAACATAATAGCACCAACACATGAGCACCAACACATGAGCACCATACGGTCCCAATACTGGTCTCTCTCTCTCTCTCTCTCTCTCTCTCTCTCTCTCTCTCTCTCCCTTCCTCACCCACGAACATCAGACAAGCGTACACAGGTACTCAAAACGGCAGAGATACATTATAATAATATTTATCTCCCACCTCTATTTTGCCCAAAGAAATCAACCTCTGAATGTGCATGTGCCGCAATACTCTTCCCACTTCCAAGCTGAGCAAGGCCTACTTCCAAAACCCTTGTCACTTCATCTCTCGCGATGTCTCATGTAAATCTACGCCTGCCAGATTCTTTTTTTTCCTGTCTTGGAAGTTCTTTTAAGGCTCCCCAGCCAACACTTTCTAAGTTTTCCCTCCTCTTCTTTGCTTCTTTTCTGCGTTTGATATGAGCATGCTTTTCTTATTACGTTCTTTATATGTGCCAACTCATCGGAAATGCCATCCTCCCTCATTTTTTCCCTCCCTTTTCCCTCTCTTTTTCTCTTCCTATTTCTCTAGATCTATTTCTCTCTCTCTTTCTCTCTCTCTCTCTCTCTCTCTCTCTCTCTCTCT